CGAACACGCGGGTCCCTCCTCGCTCTCTGAGTCCGAGTCACCCAGGAAGTCATCCGGCCCCGGTCCTTCCAGCGCTTTGCCAGCGGCTCTCAGGCGGGCCCCCCGCAGGGGCACGTCTGTGTTGGCCCCCGGCGCAGCAAGGCCTCTGCTCTTTCCGGTCTGGACGTCCACACGGCTTATCTGGAGGATTCCGGCTCCCTCTCCGACCTCGCCTTTGGCTGCAGCGCTGTCAGGACTCACCTGTCCGACGCCGGCGCCCAGGGCCTCTTCACCGCCTGTGCGGTAGCAAACCGTCAGGCCCAGCTCGCCCCGCGCGGCTGGCTTTACACAGCGCCCTCCTCCTGCTCCGGCTGGTCCGTAGGGTCGGGCCCCCGCGGGCCGCTCTCCACGAGCTCCGCTGGGGCACAGTGCTCACGGGCGACGGGGGGAGCTCAGACAGGACGTAGGCCCCAGGGTGACCGCGGGCGTGGCGGGCGGGCGCAGCTTGCCCAGCGCCGTGATATGCCCGCGGTGACGTCAGTCTGAGTGCCACCGCGCACCAGCGGCAGGCGGTGACGGGAGCTGCCCCCCAGAGGCGGGGGCTGCCCCTCGGCCCCTGGAGCACCCGGGACTCCTTGGGGGGGGGGGGCTCAGGGCCTCCACGGTTTGCTCCTGAGACAGCTTTGTGAGCCCCTCCCGTTCACCTGGAGCATCACCGTGGGCTGCTCCTCCGGCTCCTAGACCACGGACGCACGGAGCACGGCCCGCGGTGCGGGCTGGCGAGGGAGGAGGGTGGACACGTGGGGACGCCTTTCGCGGGCCCCTTGCGCGGGACCTCACAGTGGTTTTTAAACCGAGTCTCTTAAGTGTTACTCAAGATAACATTAAACTATCCATCAGGCTTTATATATACTGGTTCTCAATCCTCTGCTGGCGGGCTTGTTTACTCGGTTCTTCTCACAATCCCAAGTACTGAAGCCGCTCTCATCCTGGACAGTGGGCACAATGAGAGGCTCCTGCACAGTCGAAGTCCAGGGATGTGAAATTCTTTGGACACAAAGTAACGGCTTCTCTCTTTTTATCAAGAGGATTGACAGCAGGTATATCAAATCGCAACTTTCCTTTCTCCTTTGGGGCACTGATTCTCAACTAGAAATGTCCCCGAAGAGAAAGCATGTTTAGTTCCTATTAGCAGTGAGCAAAAGACACAAATCTCATGATAGAATAATTTCACCTGCATCCTTGGTTTGAAACTCCAGCTTTTCAAAAACTGCTTAAATGCTAATGAGATTCGTGAAACATTAGTAAAAATAATATCACATCATAAAAATAATGAAGACTAATCATGTGAATTTAGCTCTGCCTTCTGCAATAACCAACGTTTCCAGGGCACCAAGATTTAAGAGTGTTTTCTGTGTCAATATATGACCTGCTTTGATAGAAATGGATACTCACGTTACCCTGAAGACTGTCACCGAAGCGGAGGGTTTGCCCTGCACAGCAAAGCCTGAGCCCCGCCGGCCCGACCGCCGACCCGTGTGAGGCCTGCTGGCAGGGGGGCCCCTCGCTGGCAGCCAGGAACCTGGGTTTCGGGAGGGTTCCCACCGTTCCCAGGATGATAAGAATGTCCCTAACCTGTGCAAACAATATCGTATGGTTTATGCTGACACCTGCTTTCCTTCTGGGCATCTGGAATCCTGGTCTGTGCCAGGCAGAGGGCACCCACATGACCAACCCCCAAGAAAACCCCCGAGTGCCGAGGGCCGAGTCTGTGCTGAGCTTCCCCGGAGACAGCCCTTCCCGTGTGGTCCCCACTCATCGCTGGAGGAGTTAAGTGCGACCTGTGCCCCAGCAGGAGAGACAATTGGACGCTCTTGTCTGGCTCTCGGGCTTCACCCCATGTGCCTTTTCTCTTTGCTGGCTTTGCCTTGTGTCCTTTGCTCTAATGCATCACAGCCATGAGTACAAATGTCTGATGGGACCTGAAAGTCCTGGTGAATCATCTGACCTGGGTGGCCTTGGAGACCCCCAGCATAGCCCCTTATTAGGGACTCGTATCTCGTCATACTTAAAACTCACCAAAAACCAACTTCTAGTCATAATTTATAGACATGTTTCATTAAAGTGAGTTCCCATAGCCCATGCAAGGAAGTCAGTGGAGAAAGGAAACCTCTCCAAGCTGGGTTACGGCCTGGCTGTGTGTGAGGGTCGATGGAAACCTGTGAGCACCGCAGGGACCAGACGTTCTCGGACCCCTGTTATGTAGAGTTTGGACGTAGGCGGCCATGCCCTGAATGGCTAAGGCAAATAGGACTTGTGTCTTGGTCTTAAATGTCAATTCAAACGATTTACAAAAATCATAATGAACTGTATTCTAAACTGGGTCTGTGTCTGAAAACTGAGAGGCACATGTCTTTGACTCTTTTGAAACTGGAAATGTGCTTCCCCCTGTTTGGCCCGGAAGGGAGGGAGTGAGGCTGATGTGATGAACGTAGAGTTACTCAGCAAGGCTGCCTCTGTTAGCGGCTGCAAACAGCAGCATAAAAGAGAACTATGACATGCTATGCTCTTATGCCTGTCACGTATAATGTTGATCTTATGTTGATTGTTACGCTTGGAAAGCATATTCTCAGGGACTGAGATGCTTTTTCGTCATCTATGAGTTTCAGTGGCAATTTCAGGCTCAGTGTGAGTTCACCTGGGATTGCGGAGTAACGGTTCCCTCCTGACTGGTAAGAGTGCCATGTGAACTTGGGCAACTCCAATGACATAAAGCAAATTTTAGGAGGTCTTCTACCAGTTGCCCTCCTATTCAATCAGAAGAATTGATCGCCATCAAGAAGTTCATTTCCCCAGGCCTGGCTAACAATGACACCCCCAGTCTCCTCCCTGGTCACCAAACCCTTCGAGCACAAACACGGCCACACAACCACGTCCTTCCTGTCAGAGACAGAGGAGGGCCATGATGCTGGCTTTAGGTGGCCTGTGTTCCTCAGGAAAGGGCATCTATAGACTGGAGAGCTTGAGAAAGAGGAAGTGCATTGAATTCAAACACAGAGACTCAGAAACGGATGTCAAGGGCAGCATACGTTGTAATGTCCTTTTGGAGGTGGGAGGTGTTGGGGAACAGAAGTATCAGGACTCCTGGTTCCAAGGCTACAGGTGACGTTTGAGGTCAGTTCAGCAGCCCTGTGAAGAGGAAGAAGAATTAAACACAACCCAGGCTCTGAGGCCACATTTCCTTTCCCTCTCGAGTCCCAGGTCAGAAAAAGTAAGAGAGAGAGGCTGAGAGTTGGCCTGATGAAGGATGGAGGGGAGTTTCTGGCTTTTCCCTGAGCAATGGGACAAGGCTCATCACTCATACCCACCCGAAGGGGAAAGTGGACCCTTGGCTCAGCCTGAGCAAGAGGGTCAGCCTCTGAGGGTCTCCTCCTCCCCAGGGCACTTCCTATGGTTCACCCTGAACGCAGAGCCCTCATTAAATGCTCCCAAACTCACGTTGCAATGAAATGAGTGCACCCCAGAGGGAAGGAGGGAGCAAAGTACCAACTATTGGTTGTGGTCCTTGTCGTACTAAAACGAAAGTGAAAGAGGAGTTGGATTTAGTCATTGGGAGAGTAAAGAGCAACATCATCTTGGAAAGTTATACAACCTCTGCATCCCACGCCCACACCACTGGGAATGAGGCAGGGCCCAGTCTGTGGATGTAAGCTGACCCCAGGCTTAAAAGAACACCCCGCAGAGCGGGGCTCCTGCTCGGTGGTCTCAGGTGTGTCCTGGGCCAAGGTCTCAGTCTAGGCATCGTCTTCCCTCCAGGGCTGCCTTCGCCTGATCAGGGTCTCATCTCAGTGGCCTCATTTGCTCTGTCATTTTGCTTTTCTGTCTCAACTTCATCACTGAAAGAGGCCGTGGAAAGGCAACCCCCCCCCCCCAGAAGTGTCTCACCGTGCTGGCCTCTAACATGGAGAGGGACGCTCACCGCGGGGCGAGGGCCCAGCACGGGGCCCCCGACTCCAGTCAGCATCTTGCTCGGGGCAGAATGTGACTGAGCCCCCGGGGAGAGCAGACCCAGGGGCAGTCTCACCGCCACCTGCTGCCACCGCTGGCCCTGCCTGACACCGGGAGCCTGACCTGGTGCACCGTGGAGGCAGAGGGAGAGGGCAGCACCCAGCGTGCAGCCGCTTTGGGGCAGGAGAGGGTGTGGAAATCACCCCACAGTTCCGGGTCTCACACTGATGACGACCACAGAGGCAAATGAGGCTTTTAGATGAACGCAGTGAGCCCAAGTGTAAAGGACCGAAGGGAGATGGAAGGGAGGGGCCCGGCCCCAGGGTGAGGGCCAGGCAGGAAGGTGAGCGCTTTCTGGGGTTTCCTGACGAGGGGGGATTCTTTAGGCCCCCCACAGGGCACCTGGAGTGCAGGGGTCAGTGCCCTCTGGAGTCGCAGGTCCCTGCTGCTCCCAGCTGAGACCACAGGTAGGGGGTTGGTGAGGACACACGGGGCGGGGTGACCCCGATGGTAGAGAGTGGGTCCCAGAGCCTGGAGCCCAGAGGGTCACCTGGAGATCACTCACTGTCCCAGGTGGGCACAGGTAACCAGGTTCTTGGTGATCGTGGACAAAAAATTGAACCGAACTGACAGAGTTTATAGCAGAAAGTGAGAAAAAGCAGATTTATTAAGCCACGCAGGACATGGGAGCAGGCCAACTCTGAGCAGAGCGGAGCAGAGAAGAGCGGAAAAGAGCGTAACAGCAGCAGCAGCAGCCCCGAACTCAGGGGCTAGAGGGCTTTTATTCCTTAGGGTGGGTCTCACACAAGGCTAATTTATTATAATGTTATTATAATGAAGCAGGATTCAGGTAGCCTCTTCTGCACGGGTGCATTCCTGATTCACTAGGATTCAGTGCTTTTCCAGATGCAGAAACTACCAGTCTGAGAACAGGGTCTCCACCCTTTATCCACGTCCTTTATCTTAGCCCTGGGGCACCTCTGGAGTTTCCTCCTTCCTGACTCTCTCCTGCCTCAGTTGCACTCCATGGAGGCAGGTCTGTCCAAGCGGGTCTGCTCCACTGGGCAGGTGCAGACGTTTCCCTGCTGGGGGTTCAGTTCCAGCATCACCAGGATCTGGAAGGTCCAGTCCTTTACGGATGTTGTTAGTGGACAGAGCCCTGCCGATTTTCTTCTGCCCATTCAGGAGCCAGTGGACTTGAATGTTCCCTGGAGAGAAATCTGTCACGTGGCAGAAGAGCAGGTTGGGGCGCCGAGGCGGCCCCTTCTTGCTTCTTGGAGGGAGCACTTTCACTTCGGGCCGGATTAGGAGTGGGAAGAAGAATCTGGTTATGATACTGAGACAGTTAACACAGTGCATTTAAACTGTGCATTTAAAAGTTATCCGCCAAATGAACTTCTAGATGTTAGAGATGGACACAAGGTCTGTGAAGTCATTCAGAGGCAGAAGCTGGGGAGCAGTTCAGGAAAAACAAAATAAACTGTTCAAATGTTCTGAGAACAGCCTTGTCCTACACAATGAAGAGAGAGCAAGGAGGACAGGAGAGGGTCAAAGCTGGCAACCGTAGCATTTTTCACCAGAAACGAATGAGGTAGTGACTAATGTTCTTTGAACGGAAATGTTGAACCAGTTATGAACTTACCAAAATTTACATTTCCCTGTCTTGTTCAAAGGGATGTATTATTCTTCCAAATATCACCTTGGAATCAGAATATATTCAATAGTCAATAGCATTCCTTTGTCTAACAGTCTGATATCCTCGTTAAAAAGAGGTGAAGAAATTAAGGCCCCTCATTTATTTTTTATTTCAACTCTGTCTCCTCATCATTTCTACCAAAAAACAGCTTGTAGCAAGGTCCACACACCCAGTGTTCTCAGTTCCTTTGTGTGGGATTAGCAGGGAGTCTGGCCCTTTCCCCCGCGGCCTGGCCCCTGTGCACAGTGGGCCCTTTGGGTCAGAATGCCCAGCCCGGGACACGCTGGGGCTTGCAGATGGGAAGCAGACTTCTCCCCTCCGCTTCCTAAGCCCTGCCCTTCCAGGGTCTTCTCTTTCCCACCCACCACGCAACTCTGCGCATCAGGGTGACACCTTGTGCAGCTCCTGGTGGCCTCGGCACACCGCGTCCACAGCGCTCTCCCTCAGCTCCAGGAGCTCCCTCGGGAGGTCCCATCCTCGGCAGTTGAGCGCCCGAGCTCAGTCACAGACACGAACACCCCGACGGCCCTGTCAGACTGGACGCACACGTCCCTGTTGTGAACGTATTGCTCCAGGAGGCGGTGTGTCCCCTTGGACTCCCGGCAGCCGCTCCTCCTCTGGCCACATGAAGCTCCGTGGGTGCGAAAGGCCAGGGCCCGGCTGAGCCGGAGAGGCCCCATCCCCCTGCGGGCCCTTCGCTGTGTGTTGAGCGGCACAGCCAAGACCACGTTATTTCCCGTCTTTGCCTTTTCTCCTGCGTCCCCATTTTCCTTCCAGCGGAGTGTCCGCTATGGACCTCAGAGGGGTCCCTCTGCCCTCTGTCCCAGGGCCTAGAGCTTGGCTGAAATAAACACCGTGTGTTCACCACAGTCTCAGTGTTGCCGCTGTGTCTTCACTTGATCGCCAATCTCTTTGTCACTCTCAGTAAATCCACAAATCAGTACGGCATTATTTATGGCTGCCGATGTAAAGGTATTTTGCCTTCCTCCTTTCACATTCCACGGTTAAATTAGAAAATATACATTTTTCTCACACCCCATCACAAGATCTGGGATAAATCATAGACCCTCCCTGGACCAGAATTTTCTCACCCGGTACATGGGGGATTTGACTAAACAATCTCTGAAGTCATTTCCAGCATTAATTACCAAGAGCCCTGCCTCGGGGACCGCAGTGTGGCCGCAGGGACAGGCGGGGTCTGGGGGGCGAGCAGGCGCAGGGCACAGGAGGCGAGTCTGCACTTGGCTGAGGGTTGGGGGCCCAGGCAGGTGTGTCGGGACCTGACGCTCATCTGGGGTCTAAAGAGGAGCAGAGGGCACGAGCGCTCCGGCTGGGGTGCCCAGAGACCAGAAGGAGCAGCAGGAGAGTGAAGAGTAGGTGACTGAGGTGACAGGAGGCAGGACAAGCTGCCGGAAGCTGGCAGCACCACCGCCCAGGGGTTGGGGATTTTTCCTTCAGGAAATAAGCATCGTCAGATCTGTGCAGGAGGAAGGTCCTGGAAGGAGCGTGGGGAATGGATGGGATGTTTTCACAACGGGCAAGCAGGGAGGAGGGCACAGGCTGGAACTAAGAAAATGAGAGAGATTATGAAGCAAAGTCTATATGAAGTAAGGAGAGGAAGCACGGCCTGTTCCCATTTACAGCGCCGAGACCAGTGAGTGTGATGTTTAAGGTCGTGGACTCTCGGTGGAGTGGACCTCGCACCTCTTCTCTCTCAGGGACATAGTAGCTGTGCGACCTCAGTGAGACAGTGTCCTTGTACTAGAATGGAGACAGTGACGTTTCCCTGTCAGCACCTGTGGGTTACCTGAGACCCAGCAGGGAAGCGGTACCATCGGGCGACACCACAGTTCAGACTCAGGTGACAACGGCTGTGATCACGTGCAGGCGTTTATCCATGAAGCCGGAGTGAGGATGTGGGACGAGAGAATTCTGTCAGCACTGCATTCTGGCCTGGCTGCCGCCCATCGCTCGGGTCTGTTGACTTTCAAGCTCCAGGAGTATTGACCATCTGCCTGGAGTAATTCCTCCCTGACCTTTCCCATCCCAAACTCACAATTTAAAGTGTGCACTCCCCACCCCTCACTGTCCCCAAAGGACAAGGGCCAATGTCGCCTGCATGTGTGGCCTGCACGCCCCTCAACGGTTGCTGGGTCCTCATGCTGTGTTCCTGACTCACTCCTGGACGTTCTCAATGAGGGTAATTCACTCCTCATTCCCTGTCTATCAACCATAATTCGGAGCCCACAAGGGTACACTCCCCCCCGTCATCTTCTTCTCTGAGGCCTACACGTGTCTGCCCACGTGGCCACTGGGCGCCTCCAGCTGGACATCCCAGGGGAGCCTCAGGGTCAGCCTGCGCAGACGAAACCCGCGCTTCCTCCCTCACACCTGCTTCCCTCCCAAGTCCTTGGTGGTGAGTGGTGTCATCAGTCACCATCCTCAGGCCAAGAATTTTCAGTCATCTGGACCTCACTCTCTTCCTCACTCACCACTTCTGACCACATAACAAGGCTGTTATTTTGCCTCTTGTCCCTCCTGTCCCCTGTGATAGCTCACTCAGACTGCCCTCGCTCCCAACCTGGATTATTCAGTGGCCACTGAACCCTCCTCCTTGCCCCAGTGTTGCCTCCTCCAGTTCACCCTCGGACGTGAAATCACACAGACCTCAGCGTGACGTCCTGTCCTCCAACGCGACGAGGCCCTTTAGATCCGACCCGCCCCCCGAGCCAGGCTCCGCTCCTGCCCCTCCGCCCTTCCGTTCAGTCATTCGGTCGTTTTCTCTTTGTGACCTTTGAATTTTGTGTTGCTTACTTCACATTGCATAGTAATTGTATACTATCCAAATAAAAATAAATACAAACGAAAAATGAATATTTTGGGTCTAATGCTCAAACTGAAAATGCCCAGTTCCATCTTATCCTTCAATACCAAGCCAGGTGTCAACTTTTCTGAGAGTTTCCAAAGTGTTCTGCTCCCCCACCCACGGGAACTCCTCCTACACCTGTACCTGCTCTCTGTGCGTGGCTCCACATCCTGTCTCCCACTCTGTTCACAGACTGAGCTCACACTCTTTATTCTCCCCCTTGAATTTGTTCTGTTCCAGTGATCCCTGGCTGAGGGAACACCACCATCCATCAGGTTATGCAAACTGGTGATGTAGGAATTAACTTTAACTGTCTTTCCTTTTCCCACTCTAACTAGGTCTCGGGAGTTTATGTGCCATGATGCCTCCTATGATACGACCTCTTAGAAAGCCGACACAATACCATCAGTGACGTATTGGCACGAAACCTACCGATAGTGAAGTGAAACAGAATAAAGAGCTCAGAGTTTATGAATGTGTAAGACATAACACACGCAACAACAGAAGTCTCTCAGCAGACAGGGAAAGAAAAAGGTACTTCGATGGGGTTAGAAGAACTGGCTAGATATGGAGGGAAGAAACATCTAGATCAGTACTTAACATAAAAACTTAGACCCCAGAAGGATTGAAAACATAAATATGAATAGTTAACTACGAGATAAATATAAGAATTTATAAAAGAGTATAATTGTGAACAAGGGGCAAGGAATCATTCCTTAAGCAAATAGAAGAACACAAGGCAAAACCAAAATGGATTGCATTACAATTTAAACCTTTTGTTGAGGGTATAGTAGCAAGTTAAGAGACAGGGAATAGAAATACACTCACAATATCTAAAATGGAGATGGGACTGATATCGAAACCATATAAGCAACCCTTTAAGGAACAAACAAAATGGAGAACTATAATAGAAAAGTGGGTACGTTGTGGGCATGGGAGAGCAAGCTTGCAAGGCTAACTTCAATTCACGGTGGGAAGAAAACTGCAAATTTTAAAAAAAGAGGCTGACGTCTCTCAGACGTGGAAAAGTTAGAGAGCTGCGTGGGGTGCGGGGAAAGCTGCGTGAACTGCTGGCGGAGGGTCGCCCACGGCACGCGGTCAGTCAGCGCGCAGGGGACGCCCGGCCAAGTCGAGCAGCTGTTCGCCGTGTGACCCGGCACTGCCACCGTCCGTTTCACGGCCAAAGGGTTCCCCCAGGCCCATGGCGGGCGGCGCCGGGGGCTGCTGCCGGTGGGGCGTTAGTTTTTAAACTGAAGAGCGGACAGAGATCCATCGATTTGGTCACCGCTGGGACAGTAAAACCTAAACTGCGGTCGCCATGCACCGTGGAATGGTAGGCAGCCGGTAGGAGAACCAGGCGAGTGCGCTCTTCCCCGACGGTCAGATCTGAAACACAGTGGGCTGCGTCGGGCAGAAAGGAGAACGAGGTACTTTACAATGTTAAACAGGCACATTTAAACTACAGACACATATACAAGACATATTTTGAAAGATTGCATACAAACAAAAACTATGTAGGAAACCGTTAGAATGGGGGGGTGCATTCTCGGTGCATCTTTAAATCTTCCTGCAATGGTCCCTCGGAGGATACCGAGACAGTGTGATTTTTCCCATGTCCCTCTTCCTCTCTACACTTGGACATTTTAAGGCAAATTATTATTATTATTTTTTTAATTTTTATACAGCACCTCACCTAAGCCTTAGTACATACTTATGAATCAAAGAAAGGCTGAGCAGAGAACAGGTTTTATTTTTGTAAAAAATGTTTCCAGCCTCCTTAGGTCTATTTGACAATCAAAGGTTGCACATCGTTAGGGGCGCGACCGCATGACCTGAAACTCGGGTGCGTTGGGAGGTGTCGCACTGCAGCCTCTCGCCGCAGCAAGACAATCACCGTACCCCTCGGCTCATACCGTCGCGTTTACTCTGCATGTTATTTTCATGTTAAGAGGACCCGTGATCTAGTCACTTAAGTTTCAACGATACAACACCATATTCTCAATAAACTTACATTGCTGTATGCGGTTTTCCAGAAGGGATTCGTCTTGCATGAGTGAAACTTTGTATCCCGCCACCGACGCCTCCCCATTGCCACCCCCACCAGCCTCTGGGAGTCACCCTCCGCTCTCTAGTTCTGCGAAGGTGGCTATTTTAGAGTCCATGAAATATTTGTCTTTCTACATCTGCCTTATTTTACTGAGCATAGTGTCCTCCATGATTATCCATATTTTCACAACTGGCAGGAATCCTCTCTTTTAAAAGGCTGAATAATATTTCACTGCGCGTATGTGCAACATTTTCTTCATGTGCTCATCCATCTATGGACATTTAGGTTGTGTTTATATGTGGGCTATTGTGAATAATGTTGAAATGGGCACAGAAGTGCAGATGTCTCTTCATGATCCAGATTTCATTTCCTTTGATATATGAGTATATTCAGGAGTGGGGCTACTGGATTATATGGCAGCTCTATTTTTACTTTCTGAGGAATCTCCATATCGATTTCCATAAGGACTATGGTAATTTACATTCCCACCAACAGCGTTCAAAGGTTCCCTTTTCTCTACATTCTTGCCAACATTTGTTGTCTTTCATCTTTCGATAGTAGCCATTTTAGCAGGTGTTTGGTGGTGGTACCTCACTGTGGTTTTGCTTTGCATTTCCATGGTAACTAGTAAAGTTGAGCACCCTTGCATATACCTTTTGGCCATTTGTATTTCTTCTTTGGAAAATGTCCATTTAGGTCCTTTGCTGATCTTCACTAAGTTTTTGTAGTTGTTATTGAGTTGTATGAGCTCCTTATATGTTTTGGAT